TTCCCTCCCCCTCCCCTCCCTAAAGTAGCCGGCAAGTGCTAGTTGCGAAAAAATCTCGAAATTGGGAAATAATTGGGTGCTGCACGATCTCATTTAGCTGGGGACCCACCACTCCGGCTCCAGCTCCCTTTTCGGGCTTTAAAAATTGGCCATCCTTTTGTTCTTTGTTCGATTTGCACACTTCCGCTGAAAAATCGCTGATGCATTTCGCCTTTCCAAAAGGTTAACGTAACAGTGCAATTGAATTCGCTGAACCTGACTGTTCAACGCTCTTGCAACGTTTTTTGTTCAATTACGGGTTCAGGATTTCCTCACTCATACTAATGGAATGTCACTCTCTGCAGGCTTGAAGAATGGGCTTTGCTTTGTAGCGTATTGTTTTCTTTCATCGTTCTCACTGCTGTCATCGGCTTCGTGGAGGTTTTCGACCATCGGCTGAAAACCACACCCATTTATTGAAATTCACACGACATCTCGCGCTCTCTCACCGCCATCATTAGAAATGACCGAGATCTCTGGTGCTTGAGATCCCGATCAGTTTTTGAGAAACTCACTAGCGCTGGTATTGTGGGCGGCAGACGGCGAATTTCTGTTTTGATTCATGACCTCAGGAAAAACAGCTTCTTCACTGGGAATTGATGATATTTTGCACCTCAATGTCACCTTTTTGCCCATAATTCACTTTGAAAACATTTTCTGTTGTCGTACATCTAGCATTCTCGCTCCTCGGAGTTATGAACTAACTGCCCTGGACTTCGAAGGGTTAGCGGTTCTAACAAGGGAGGTCGTTCAGGCCGTGGTGAGCTTTTTCAAAACGGTTTGTTGCATGTTGTAGGGGTCCATGCGAGGACCACAGCGATGGGGTTCATTTTTGCTAAACGGTACTGGGAATGTCAAAAAAAGGTCAAAAATAATTCGAAAAGAATGGACTTTTTAAACCACCTTATTCGCCTCTGTTCTAGCTCTGTTCTAGCTTGTAAGCTCAGCGCTTGGAATAGCCATTTTGCCCATGAATGAATTGAGGAGAAAGCTATTGGGGCCCTTCGGGGGGCCTTCCGACGATACATCTTCTAAGGGAGAAGATGGAAGAATTTTGGCAAAAAATTGAGGAAAGCGGCAGGA